GGGGTGTGCAGCACCCAGAGGGACCTGGTGGGTCTGAGGATGGGATGGGGCACCCCTGGGTGCTGGGAGGGCCCTGCAGGGACCCTGGGGTGCAGGTAGGGGTGGGGGCACCAAGGGGAGGTGGTGACAGGGCACCCCATGGGTGTTTGGGGGGACACTGTGGGCACAGAGGGAACAGGGCACAGGGGTGAGGGAGGTGGGTGTGGGGCACCCAGAGGGACCTGGTGGGCTGGGGGTGGGATGGAGGACCCCATGGGTGCTGGGGGGAGGCCCCTGTAGGTGCCCAGGGATGTGAGTTGGGAACAGGGCATGGAGGGGAGAGGGCACAGGGGGTGATGCGGGTGGGCAGGGGGACCTGGCGGGGTGGGGGACAGGCCAGGGCATGCAGTGGGTGCTGACGGGGACCCTACAGTCACCCAGAGATGTGGATGAGGAGGGTGGCACAGAGGGCAGAGGGCACAGCGGGGGATCCAAGGCACCCAGAGGGACCTGTTGGGGCTGGGGGTGGGATGGGGCACCCCGTGGGTGCTGTGGGGGACCCTGCAGGCACAGAGGGCAGAGGGCACAGGGGGTGCTGTAGGTGGGTATAGGGCACACAGAGGACCCTGGTGGGGCTGGGGATGGGATGGGGCACCCTGTGGGTGCTGGGGGGGACCCTGGGCCACCCCACGAGGGGGGCACTGAGGGGGCAGAGCACAGGGGGTGATGCAGGTGGGCACAGGGCACCGGAGGGACCCCGTGGGGCTGAAGACGGGACTGGGCACCCCGTGGGTGCTGGAGAGCCCCTGCAGGCCCAGAGGGCAGGGGGCACACAGGGGGTGATCCGGGTGCCATGGGGCACCCAGAGGGCCCTGGCAGGGTGGGGGCCGGGGGCCAGAGCTGTGCCCACCCACAGGGGACACCCTGATCGACGGGGACGAGCACTACTGGGAGGTTCGGTACGACCGGGACAGCAAAGCCTTCGGGGTGGGGGTGGCATATCGGAGCCTGGGCAAGTTCGACCAGCTGGGCAAGACCTCGGCGTCCTGGTGCCTCCACCTCAACAACTGGCTGCAGCTCAGCTTCAGTGCCAAGCACGCCAACAAGGCCAAGGCGCTGGACGTGCCTGTGCCCGACTGCATCGGCGTCTACTGCAACTTCCACGAAGGTGGGCGGGCTGGGGGGCGCGGGGCGGGGCTGGGGGTGGGCACGGGGGTGTGCCACTGCTGTGGGTGTCACCACCGCCACCATGGGAATGAGTGTGGGCATTGCCATGATCATGGGGATCAGTGTGATCACCGTGGGCATTGCCACCACCATGGCTAACAGCATGTCCACCATGGGCATTGCCACCACCCTGGGAACTAGTATGGGCATTGCCACCACCACTGTGGGCATTGGCACCACCGTGGGAACCAGTGTGGGCATTGCCATGACCATGGGGACCAGTGTGGGCATTGCCATGACCGTGGGGACCAGTGTGGGCATTGCCATGACCATGGGGACCAGTGTGATCAATGTGGGCATTGCCACCACTGTGGGCATTGCCACCACCGTGGGGACCAGTGTGGGCATTGCCGTGGGGACCAACATGATCACCATGGGCATTGGCACCACTGTGGGCACTGCCACCACCATGGCTAACAGCATGTCCACTGTGGGCATTGCCATCACCACTGTGGGCATTGCCACCACCGTGGGAACCAGTGTGGGCATTGCCATGACCATGGGGACCAGTGTGGGCATTGCCATGACCATGGGGACCAGTGTGATCAATGTGGGCATTGCCACCACTGTGGGCATTGCCACCACCGTGGGGACCAGTGTGGGCATTGCCATGACCATGGGGACCAGTGTGGGCATTGCCATGACCATGGGGACCAGTGTGATCAATGTGGGCATTGCCACCACTGTGGGCATTGCCACCACCGTGGGAACCAGTGTGGGCATTGCCATGACCATGGGGACCAGTGTGGGCATTGCCATGACCATGGGGACCAGTGTGGGCATTGCCATGACCATGGGGACCAGTGTGATCAATGTGGGCATTGCCACCACTGTGGGCATTGCCACCACCGTGGGGACCAGTGTGGGCATTGCCATGACCATGGGGACCAGTGTGATCAATGTGGGCATTGCCACCACTGTGGGCATTGCCACCACCATGGGGACCAGTGTGGGCATTGCCGTGGGGACCAACATGATCACCATGGGCATTGGCACCACTGTGGGCACTGCCACCACCATGGCTAACAGCATGTCCACTGTGGGCATTGCCATCACCACTGTGGGCATTGCCACCACCGTGGGAACCAGTGTGACCACCGTGGGCATTGCCACAACAACCATGGGCATTGCCACCACTGTGGCCACCAGTGTGGGCACTGTGGGCATTGCCAGCACCGTGGGCACCAGCATGTCCAGTATGGGCACCAATGTGTCCACTGTGGGCATCGCCACCACTGTGGGCATCAGCGTGTCCACCACGGGCACCAGAGTGTTCACTATGGCCATGGCCACCCCTATGAGCACCAACATGCCCACCGTGGGCAGTGCCAGCCCCCCCCCTCCCCACACTCTGTGCCCCCCCCCCCTGCCACCGAGAGCTGCTTTGGCCGGAATAAATCGGGATGTAGGAGTGACCTGGGCGTGGGTGGGGGGCACGGGAGGGGCACGGGGGGAGGGTTGGGGGTTGGCACCTCCAGGGCACCCCCAGGGCACCGGGAGACATGAAGGGGCTGAGCGGGGCACGGGGTTCTGTAGTCATGATGCCCCCCAAATATCTGGGGAGTTGCCCCTCCCTGGTGCCCCCCCAGCACTAAGGGGTGCCCTGGTGAGGGGCCCTGAGGCTGGGGGGGGGCACTGCTGCCCTGAGTGGTGGTGGCACAACATGGGGGGCTGCCGGTGCCCCCCCAGACTGGCACCATCAACCCTGAGCAGCTCCTCTGTGCCCCCACCACAGACACGAGCATGTCAGGCCTCAGCCCCCCCATCCCACCCCCCTGCCCCTCAGCCGGGCTCCCACCCTCACCCTGAGGACCCCCCAGTTTCACCCAAAGGTCCCAGCGTGGGGGTGCCCACCCTCGGGGTGCCCACCCTCGGGGGACCCTTGCCCAGGGGTGCTTATGGGGTGCCAGCCTTGGGGAGGGGTCCCCGATCTCAGGGGGTCCCACCTTGGGGGTGCCAGCCTTGGGGAGGGCACAGAGGGAGACCCTTGGGGGGGTCCCGGCCCAGGGGTCTCTCAGAGGTGCCACCCCAGTACCCGGGTCTCAGCCTGGGGGTGCCCACCCTGGGGGGGGTCCTGACCCAGGGGTGTCTCTGGGGTCCCAGTCTTGGGGTCCCACCTTGGGGGGTCCCACAGGTCCCAGCCTGGGAGAGCCCCTCCAGTCCCACCCAAAACTTCTTGGTCTGCGGGTCTCACCCTGAGGGGGTCCCAGACATGGGGGGCCCACCCGGGGGTACCCAACCGGGGGGGGTCCAGCCTGGGGGTGTCTCGAGCCGGGGGGGCTCCCACGGGGGGTCCCGGCCAGGAGAGGGTCCCGGCCAGGAGAGCCCACCC